TCATTTCCTCATTCTTCTGCCTCTGCTGCCACTGTTTCTCTGCTACTGCTTCTTGCTGTCTCCAGTATTACAGCTCTCTCTCTGGCTCCTGGGTCTAGGAGGTTCTCAACACAGGGATCCCAGGTTCAAAGGACACACTCCACTCCTAGCTCTTCTTTCTTGGTGGTAGTGAGGACCCCCCTCCTGCTCTGGGATTGTCTCTCTTTTAAGCATAGCAGGATGGCAAAACTGACCAATCTCCTCGTTAGGGTGCCATATACCTTGTTTGCATGGTCCCACCCCCACAAGGGTGCCACACATCTTATTTGCATTATCAGCAAGTTGTCCAATCCCCTTGGTGGGCCACAAGTCCCTTATTTGCATAGTCCCACCCAGTCATTTGGTGGGGGTTATAAGATCATGGCAAGAAAGTCCATATAAAAGCGATCCATTGCACCGCAGCTAATTTCATTGGCTCTACCTTCACAAACATTCCCAGATTCTTCCTTCTCCCCATCTTGGTCTCTCTCATCCCTGTGCAACCCACCATTATCTTGCCTGTATTGTTGTAATAGTCTCCTCTCTCTCTGTTCCACTCTCAATCCATATTTGTAGAATTGCATGTGAATTGAAACCTATTCCATTTCTTGGCAGCACATTAAGTCTACTCAGAAAAGGATCTTTGATCTAAAAGTGGATGGAATCCCATCATAGACTATTAGACGTCTGAGCACAGGCTGTTTGATTTTGCAAAGCTTGCTTGTTAATGGAAAAGCAGTACTTCAGAGGGAAAGAAACTGGCTAGACCAAAGCTCCTGGAATAATTTTACCTAGGAGAATTGCTGACAGAATTTGGCAGCTGAAAAGCTGCCCTATTTTCTGTTGATCTTCTTTTGCCTGGGGTTTGAAACAGGAAATTCTCTGCCTCGGATAGTAATTAGTCACATTTTACAGTTGGCCTGGGCTCTTCTGCTGTATTCATTTCAAACCCCACTTCCCATTGCACCCTGGGGGTTGGTTGGTAGTTCACTTACTTACTATCCTGTTTGTTCCACTCTCCTGAGAATGATCTCATGACTCCTTTTCTCCCATTGCAATAATAGCACATGGGCCCTGGGAGAGCAGTAGCTGTGTCTGTACAAATGAGAACTCGCAGCATTCTTAGCATCTGGCACAAGGGTCACAAAGCAAAATCAAAACGGGCTGCTAGATATAAAAAACAAGTGAAGTTTCCTGACCACATCTTAAGGTACATCCTTTCTTTCACCCTAGACATGTAAGATTGTTGTTCTTGCACCCAAATGTTCACTCATTTTCCTGAAAACTCAGAGCCCTCTCTCTATAGCCTAAAAGAACAATTCTCAAATTGTTAAAAATATAATATGTTCTGTATCTTGATTGGGGTGGTGGTTACATGAGTGTATACATTTGTCAAAAATCATCAACCTGTACAACCTGATTGTCTGTCTAGTAGAAAAGATGACCCCAAAAGTTACAGTTTTATTGTTCTGTGGGACATGAACCTGGTTTGAATTTAATTTAGCAATCATATTTCACCATTCCTTTGACATTAACTATGAGCAGTTTTTTTTTGAAACCAGCTCTGTCTCACCATCCTAGCTTCCAAGGAGCCCTCTGGCTATAGTTCTTCCAAGACAGACTTGTTCATTCTTTTGGCAGTCCATTCAATATTCTTTGCCAACACCATAATTCAAAGTCATCAATTCTTCTACAGTCTTCTTTAGTCATTGTCCAGCTTTCTCATGCATATAAGGCAATTGAAAAGAGCATGGTTTGGGTCAGGCATACCTTAGTCCTCAAGGTGACATCTTTGCTTTTTAATAGTTTAAAGAACTCTTTTGCAGATTTGCCCAATGCAAAGCATCATTTGATTTCTTGGCTTCTGCTTCCATGGGTGTTGATTGTGGATCCAAGTAAAATGAAATCCTTGACAACTTCAATATTTTCTTCATTTACGATGACGTTGCTTACTTGTCCAGTTGTGAGGATTTTTGTTTTATGTTGAGGTGTAATCCATACTGAAGGCTGTGCAGCCTTTGATCTTCATCAGTAAGTGCTTCAAGTCCTCTTCACTTTCAGCAAGCAAGGTTGTGTCATCTGCATATTTCAGGTTGTTAATGAGTCTTCCACCAATCCCGATGCCACATTCTTCTTCATATAGTCCAGCTTCTCAGATTATTTGCCCAGCATACAGATTGAATAGGTATGGTGAAAGAATATAGCCCTGATGAGCACCTTTCCTGTCCTTAAACCACACAGTGTCCCCTTGTTCTGTTTGAACGACTGCCTCTTGGTCTATGTACAGGTTCCGCATGAGCAGAATTAAGTATTCTGGAATTTCCATTCTTCGCAATGTTATCCATAATTTGTTATGATCCACACGGTTGAATGCCATTGCATAGTCAATAAAACACAGGTAAACATCTTTCTGGTATTCTCTGCTTTCAGCCAGGATCCATCTGACATCAGCAATGATGTCGCTTGTTCCAAGTCTTCTGAATTTGGCTTGAATTTTTGCCAGTTCCCTGTCGATGTACTGCTGCAACCATTTTTGAATGATCTTCGGAAAAGTTTCCTTGTGTGTGATATTAATGATATTGTTTGATAATTTCCACATTCAGTTGGATCACCTTTCTTTGGAATGGGCACAAATATGGATCTTTTCCAGTTGGTTGGCCACGTAGCTGTCTTCCAAATTTCTTGGTATAGGCGAGTGAGCGCCTCCAGTATTGCATCCCTTGTTGAAACCTGGAGCCTTGTTTTTCGCCAATGTCTTCTTCAGTGCAGCTTGGAGTTCTTCCTTCAGTATCACTGGTTCTTGATCATATGCTATCTCCTGAAATGGCTGGAAGTCGACCAATGCTTTTTAGTACAGTGATTCTGTATATTCCTTCCATCTTCTTTTGACACTTCTTGGGTTGTTCAATATTTTTCCAATAGAATCCCTCAAAATTGCAACTCCAGGCTTGAATTTATTCTTCAGTTCTTACAGTTTGAGGAATGCCAAGCATGTTCTTCCCTTTTGATTTTCTAACTCCTGGTCTTTGCACATTTCATTATAATACTTTCCTTTGTCTGCTTGAGCTGCCCTTTGAAATTCTCTGCTCAGCTCTTTACTTCATCACTTCTTCCTTTCGCTTTGGCTATTCTACATTCAAGAGCAAGTTCAGAGTCTCTTCTGACATCCATTTTGGCCTTTTCTTTCCTGTCTTTTTAATAACCTTTTGCTTTCTTTGTGTAAAATGTTCTTCATATGATCTGAAAGCCTCAGTTTCCCGATCTGTAAAGTTAAGAGCTCGGCTGCTAACCAAACAGTCGGCAGTTCGAATCCACCAGCTGCTCCTTGGAAACCCTATAAGGCAGTTCTACTCTGTCCTGTAGGGCCACTATGAGTTGGAATTGACTCGACGGTAATGTTTTTTTTTTTTTTTAAGTAGGTAAAATAATAGGCTAATGCTAATGCTGTGTTGAGGGAGAACTAAATGATATAATATATATCAAGACCTTGGTACATGGTTGTTGTTGTTAACGGCCATCAAGTAGACTCCCCGGCTCATGGAGCCTCCACTCACGGTGTGATTGGACTGTTGGTAAATTGTACACATTCAATAATGTTTGGTTCTTTCTTCTGTTGACTCTAGCTGCAAGTGGAGTTGGTATATGTCCTTATCAGTGATGCGGTAGAGGAGGAGAGCTTAAACACACACAGTATTTTTCTCCATGCAGTACAACGACAATCTTTTCAATAGTTTTCTGCAGGCACTGCAAAACCTTGAAGTACTTTTTCAACACTCAGAGAAAGATTACATTTTAACTGGTTTGATGGAGTAAGAAGAGCCCTTGACTGGAACATAAGTCATGGACATTGTCCCATAAAGGCTGGACATCAGTTTAAGCTTCTTATTTATAAAACAGGGATAGTCCTCCTTACCAACCTTATAGAAGTATTGCAGGGTACAGGGATGTGAGAATTCTTTCAAAACAGTGCACCTATGAGAAGTTAGTAAGTTTGTATTAACTAGACAGACGTTTTCTTGTTTCTGGGTCTGACTTCTCCCCCAGGGAAACGTGAGCATCTCAGCAGTACTGAGTCTGATCTTGTGTCATGGTCGTTCAGGATCTGGCAAAGAGAGACGTCTGGCTCAGTGACGGACTCTTGACTGAAGTGTCCTCTGGTGTTTGTTTTTGTTAGGTGCCCTCAAGTCCGTTGACTCAAAGCGACAGAGTAGAACCGCCCCAGAGGGTTTTCTAGGCTAGAATTTTTACAGGAGCATATCGCCAGGTCTTTCTCCCGTGGAGCCGCTGTGTGAGTTGGAACGGCCAACCCTTCAGCTAACATTAGAGCGCAAAATGTTAATTACATTAATTATAACAAATCTATCTCATTTAGAAGCTATTACTCCACAGTCGGGCAGCCCTGCTGGGGCAGTGGTTATGTACTCAGAGGCTGTCCAAAAGGTGAGTGTTTCCAACCCATCAGCCGCCCCACCGGAGACTGCCTCCTTAGAGATTAAAACCCGTTGCGGTGGAGTTGATTCCGAATCACAGCGACCCTAAAGGACAGAGTAGAACTGCGCCAGAAGGCTTCCTAGGCTGTAAACACATATGGAAACAGACTATCACACCTTTCTCGGTGGAGCGGCTGGTTAGGGTTCGAACCACCGACCTTTCGGTTAGCCTTAAGGTTACAGCCTTGGAAACCCCATGGGGCATTCTTATCCCACGTCTTTTGGCTGAGTTGTTTTATTTATTTATTTATTTTTAAAGTTAATTGATTTAAAAAAAAAAATACTGTATAGTATATATATTTTTGGTTTCTTCACTTTGAGATTGGCTGCGGATCATCTTAATGTGATTGGCTAAAGCACCTGCCCGTTATCTTTCCCATGATCCGACGGGGAAATTGGGGGGGGGGAGTGTCTTAAACTCAGCTGTTTTATTGGCTCCGGTAGCGACGACCGGCAAAGACCATGGGCACTTCTAATTTGTGATTAGTTTTCATGTCCGCCAGTCATGCTGCCGGAATTTCTGCCCAATCCTCTTACTCGTACTATGACCTGATTGCCCGATTGGCTGTAGGGGTTTAAGCTGGAAAGGTTGTCATTGGTCCGAAACGCCCCAGCTTGCGGCCCAAGCCCGCCCCCCGTTCGGTTGCCGTGGTTGCAGGCCCGGCCCCGCCCGCTCGCTCGCTGACAGCGAGACTTAGGGCGGAGGGAAGTGGGTCCGTTGGTCGGTCGGGAACGAGGCTCCACCAGCGAGGCCCGCGCGGAATCGTTGCCATGGCAGCCGCTGCCGGGGGCGCAGACGAGGAGCCGCGTTCTGGCCGCTCGAGCTCTGATGGCGAGTGCGCGGTGGCGCCGGAGCCGCTGAAGGGCCCCGAGGGCCTCTTCTCCTTCGCCAGCTTGGGGGCTGCGCTGGGCAGCGGTACGGACCTCCCCGGCCGGGCGTCCGACGGAGCCCAGTCCCCGCTGCGCTACCTCCATCTCTTGTGGCAGCAGGACGCCGAGCCCCGCGACGAGCTGCGTTGCAAGATCCCCGCTGGCCGACTGAGGCGCGCCGCCAGGCCCCACCGCAAGCTCGGGCCAACGGGCAAAGAGGTGCATGGTGAGGCGCGGGAGCGGCCGGCGGGCGCAGAGGGAGGCGGGTCTGCGTGCGTACTACTCCAAGCCAGGGAGCCTGGAGCGAGGCTCCCCGCTGGGCTCGGCCCCTCTTTGGAGACCCGGCCCCGGACTTATCCCCAGACCCCGAGCTAAGGGCCCAGAGTGACCCTGGAGTCTCCTTTCAATAATAATAATAATTATTATAGCAGCTATGGGCCACGAATGTTTTTTTTTTTTAAAAATCCCACCAACTACACAAAAAACTTCCTTCTCAGAATCAGTCACCCAGACTTCTCACATTTGGTAATTCCCGAATAGAAACTTCATGACTCTAGGTGTTCCGTTGAGTCGATTCCAACTCATAGTGACCCCGTGTGACAGTAGAATTACCCCATAGGATTTTCTGGCTGTGATTTTATAGAAGCACATCTCCAGGCCTTTCTCCCACGGAGCTGCTTAGGTTAGCAGTCCATTGCTTAACCGCTTTCACCACCAGGGCTTCTTACGTGTTTATTTGTTGTTGTGTGCCATGCAGTCTTCTAAAACGCCTGCTGTGATGTGTGTCTTCCGTAGTATCTTTTATATTTTATTGATGACTTGGAAACCGAGGCCCTGAAAGATTAGGAATGGGGACTTTTAAGAGTCACTTCTGGCACCTTAGGGGCTTTTTGAAGATTTAATGAGAATTTGAAAGTCCTTTTTAAACTATAAAGTGTTACAGGAATGTCAGTAATTGTTATGTATCTTAGTGGCAATTTTCACTCATTTCTCTGTGACAAAGGCATTTTTTTCTATTTGCCTCTAATATAGAGATTCTGTCATTGGAGGGGAAAAATGTTTCTGCTTAGGAATTACCAAGTTTAGGAAAGTCATTTAGGAATGATCTATTTTGAAGGAGAATATAATAAGATTATTTGTGTAATCAGCTCACAAAGAGCTTCAGTGTAAATCGTCTCATTCATTCTTGCAACAACTCAGGGCTAGCAGGGCAGAGCTTAACTTTGTTTTGCAGATGATGGACCTGAGGCCCAAAGAGGTCAGCTGACTTACTCAAGGTCACTCAGCTACTCCAAGTGGCAGAGCCCAGGTCTGACTCCAGAGGCCTTGGAGAATTTGCTACAGAATGTGGCCTTTTCGCTAGTTGTGCCACATTTAAATTTCTCTTTGTTCTCAGGGTACTATCTCTCATATCCTGGCACCATTCTTTCCCTTTAGGTGCTGTTGTGGCTGAAGGCTGGATTAACTAGGCAACCATCCACTTTCTGCTTCATTGCAGCCATTTATTTAACTGATACTCTCTTACTCTCTTTACAGCTCTGAAGAGGCTGAGGGACTCCGCCAACGCTAACGACGTGGAAACAGGTGAGTGTATACACTGGGTCTAGCTCCAGGGACCTGTTGGTTGGTTGAGGGAGGAATAATCCATGTAACCAGTACCTGGGAAGGTATTTTAATACAGCCTGCCAGCTCACCCCTCAGACCAGGCTCACTTATTTATTGTGTAATTTGCAGTCATCCTGCAGGAGCTAAGTCTGGCTTTGATGTTCACCCTCCTCATGCTCCTCTGTCATCCTAAACTCCCTGATATCTTAGCATTTATCACCCTGAGGGCCCCCTGATGCTGGGGACCATGTCTGCCTTTGTATACCTGACACCCAGCACAGTCCTCAGCAAAGAGTAGGCACTCATTTTGCAACCTCTAGGTCGTGGGAATGAACACTAACTTTAACTGCCAGGGGATCATCTGGATGGTGCCACCATCTTCAGCTGCTCACTGAGGCTTTGTGGTAGTTGGGTCAGTGGTTCTCAAACTTGTTTAGTTGACACAGCACCTGAAAGGCATGGGTGGCCTCCTAGCAGGACGCCACTGTATTTGTTTTTTATTGTTGCTCTCTGGTGTTCTCTAACTGACAGGGCAAGTAGCAGCATCAAAGGTGCCAGGAAAATTCATAGGAAAAAATTTTAAATTTTATCCACTTTATCCTTTCTGTGAATCAAGGAAAAGTAGTACGTTAGCTTTCTATGGCTGCTGTAACAAATTACCACAAACTTAGTGCCTTGAAACAGCAAAAATTTATTATCTTGCAGTTCTATAAATCAGAAGTCCAACATAGGACTCATCAGGCCAAAATCAAGGTGTTGGCAGAGATGCATTCCTTTCTGGAAGCTTTAGAGGATAATCTGTTTCCCTGCCTTTTCCAGCTTTTGGAGGCCACCAATGTCCCTTGGCTCATGGTCCCCTTCCTTTGTCTTCAAAGCCAGCAATGGTGGGTCGAGTCCTTGTCTTGTAGCCATGACTCTGATTCTTGTGGCAGGGAAAGGTTCTCTGATTTTAAGGACTCGTGTGATTAGATTGGGCCCACTTAGATAATCCAGGATAATCTTGCCATCTCAAGGGTAGAATGATAGCTGGTGGCGGGATGCTGTGGTCAACAGCTAAAATGTGAGCATGTAAGAAGTTTCCTGAATACAGTCAAACACTTTGAGGGACAGAGTAGCAGGGGTAGGGGTCTGGGGACAATGCTTTCAGAGGACATCTAGGTCAATTGGCATTAACAAAGCTTATTAAGAAAATGTTCTGCATCCTACTTTGGTGAGTGGCATCTGGGGTCTTAAAAGCTTGCAAGCGGCCATCTAAGATGCATCAGTTGGTCTCCACCACCTGGAGTAAAGGAGAATGAAGAATACCAAAGACACAAGGGAAGTATTAGCTCAAGAGATAGAAAGGGCCATGTAAACCAGAGACTTCATCAGCCTGAGACCAGAAGAACTAGATGGTGCCTGTCTACCACCAGTGACCGCCCTGACAGGGAACACAACAGAGAGTCCCGGATGGAGCAGGAAAAAGGTGGGGTGCAGAATGCAAATTCTAGTAAGAAGACCAGACTTAATGGTCTGACTGAGACTGGAGGAACACTGGAAAGCATGGCCCCTAGATTCTCTATTATACCAGGACTAAAACAATTTCCGAGGCCAGCTCTTCAGACAGGAATTGGACTGGACTGTGGGACATAAAGTGATGCTCGTGAGGAGTGTGCCTGTTAACTCAAGTAGATAGAAGAGACTAAACGGGCAGCTTCTTCCCGGAGGTGAGATGGGAAAGCAGAGAGGGTTAGGAGCTGGTTGAATGGACAGGGGGAATCGGATGGAAAGGGAGAGTGTGCTGTCACAGTATGGGGAGAGCAATTGGAGTCACATAACAATGTATGTATAAATTTTTGTATGGGAGAAAGTAAAATGTGAGCATAGATGAAGGGCTGAGGGTTAGGAGAGCCCACCAAGTACACTGGGCATGGAGAGGCGGCTGACTATCTCAGGGAGCTGGGGTGTTGCCCATGGGTCGCAAGATGACTCCGCATTCCTGATGTAGCAGCAGTGAGCAGGCCCGGAAACTGGAGGGTTTTTCAATGCTCTTCACTTTGGTGTCTTTCCCATTATCTTTACTATTTTGGAATGTTTGAAATATTTGAAAGCTAGATAGCTTTTCAACAAAAAATAACAAGTTTTCTCTCTTTTTTTAATCTTTTTTTAATCGTGATTAAAATATACACAGCAAACACAAATTCGACAATTTCACATGTATAGTTCAGTGACATTGATTACATTCTTCGTGTTGTGTAACCATTCTCACTATCCTTTTCCAAATAATTACACCACCATTAATATAAACTCAGTGCCCCTAAGCAAAAACTCTCCTTTCCCCCTCCCTTCCACCTCTGGTGTCTTAGTTATCTAGTGCTGCTATAACAGAAATACCACAAGTGAATAGCTTTAACAAATAGAAGTTTATTCTCTCACAGCCTAGGAGACTAGACGTCCAAATTCAGGGTGCCAGCTGCAGGGGAAGACTCCCTCTCTGTCGGCTCTGGGAGAACGTCTTTGTCATCAATTTTCCCCGCTTAAGGAACTTCTCAGCACAGGGACCTTAGGTCCAAAGGACGCACTATTCTTCTGGCTCTTGTTTCTTGGTGGTATGAAGTTCCCATGTCTCTCTGCTCTCCTCTCTCTTTTATATCTCAAAAGGGATTGATTTAAGACACTACCGAATTTTGTAGTTTGAGTCCTGCCTAATTAATATAACTGCCGCTAATCCCACCTCATTAACATCATAGAGGTAGCCTTCACACCCACAGGAAAATCACATCAGATGACAAAATGGTGGACAGTCACACAGTACTGGGAATCATGGACTAGCCAAGTTGACACATTTTGGGGGGGACACAATTCAATCTACAACACCTGGTTACCACTAATAATATTTGGTTTCTACATATTTGCTTATTTCATATAAGCAAGATGATACGGTGTTTGTCCTTTTGTGTCTGACTTATTTTGCGCAGCATAATGTGTTCAGGGTTCATCCATGTTGTAGCATGCATCAGGACTTCATTTCTCTTCATGGCTGAGAATATTCCATTGTGTGTATATACATATATATATGCCACAATTTTGTTTATCTGTTCATCTGTTGATGGACATTTCAGTTGTTTCCACCTTTTGGCGATTGTGAAAAGTGCTGCAGTGTTCTCTTTTTTAATATCTCTTGTGTGTGGCCAAAGAAGATATTAATCGTACTCATCTTCCACAGAGAGCTCCCTTCATCTTGAATCGGGTGTTCACACAGCGGTTTATTATTTTGGTAGAAATGCTGTAATTTTCCACACTCACCTTCAAATCTAAATGGCTCTTAGTTGTGCCAGGCTCCCACAGAGCCCTGCTGGTGAAGCTGGCTGTAGGATCAGCATCTTCCCTCCTTGTATGGCTAGCATTTTGTTTTCTTTCTGTGCATGTTTGTTGCTTTTTTGTATAGTTTAGAGATTCCAATGGACATAAAATTTATACCCTGCTTTTGTCACTTGCTGTTAAGTGCTGTTCCGTGAATCCACAGTCATTTAGGTATTTTATGTACACAAATGATACATCCATTTAAAATGTTTTCAAAAATAGAGAAATATAGAAGAAAAACACCCATGTCACCAAAAGAACTAATCACTGTTAATATTTTGGTGAATTTCTTTTCAGTCTTTTTTCCTATGCCTAGGAATTTTCTTTATGGGCTTGCAAACTACTATATTTAATTTCTAACCTCCATAATTTTTTGTGTATCATAAGCATTAAAAAAAAAATTTATTGTGCTTTAGGTGAAAGTTTACAGTGGAAATTAGTTTCTCATTCAAAAATTTGTACATAAATTGTTTTGTGACATTGCTTGCAATCCCCACAATGTGTCAGCACTCTCCCCTTTTCGCTTTCCACCCCAACCACTATAAGCATCTTTATAGTCTTTGTAATCATTTATTTTTTCAAAATGAAAATGTCATTTTTCCATTACTTATAGAATGAATACATTGCCATAAAAAACTTTTTTTAAAGCTTATAAAATAGAAAGCAAAAATTATAATCCCACCCTCAATTATAACCACAATTTTTAATGGATGCACAGTATTCTATGAAAGGAACAAAGCAAGAGTTATTTAGTCAGTCATATATTTGCACGCTGGTTTTTCATTTTTAAGATAATTTTCCAGGTATGGGATTGTCACATCAAAGTGTTTACATATTTTGATAGCTCCTAAAATATGCTAACATGCTTTCCAAAAGGCCTATAAAACCAAAAAAACCCAAACCCGTTGCCATTGAGTCAATTCCGACTTATAGTGACCCTATAGAACAGAGTAGAACTGCCCCATAGGGTTTCCAAGGAGCTGCCGGTGGATTTGAATTGCCGACCTTTTGGTTAGCAGCTGTAGCTCTTAACCACTGTGCCACTTTTTTTTTTTGGTGGCAAACCCAGGATAAATCACAAAAATAAAACGATATTTCAGCTGTATTTTATCTCTTTGATACTTGCTGCATTTGGTGAATGTGCTAATGAACAGTGAAGTGACCTGAAGCTCTTATTTCTCCTCCACTCTCATCAGCCTTTTCCTACCGCCTTCATTCATTTATTTAGTCAGCAATATTCATTAAGCAGATGTTACTTGTAGGACACTATGCTTGATACCAGGGATGTAAAGATAAAATAAAAAACCTACAATATGCTGATGAAGAAGAATATAACGTGAGACCATTTCCAAAACAAAACAGCAACAAAAAAACCCGGAAATTTTGTGATTAGTTGGAGAGGTGTAAGTTCAGGAGCCAGAGAAACCTGGGTTTATGTCCTGGCTTTGCCTTCTGTTAGCTGGGTGAATGTAGCTTGGGTGCGTTACATAATCTCTCTGGGCCTGAGTCTCCCAGTCTGTAAAATGGGTGTGATACTTGCTGGGTTGTAGAGGGATTAGCATTTAGATACCTGGCACTTGGCTTGTATGCAGTGTATAATAACTCAGTGTACAGCAGCAATTACTGTAAAATAGAAT